AATAGCAAATCCTTCCGCTTTTAGTTGAATGGTATGAGGTCTAGTATTTATCTCATCAAGGCACGGTGCCTTACCTGAACAACTTAATGAAAGGGTTTATCTCATGAAAAGCATCAAAACTTTTGTCGCTGTAATCGCTCTGGCTGCTTCTTTCGGTTCTTTCGCTGCGCAGACAGTAACCGCTTCCGCCTCTACGCTGGACGGTGCAGAAGCCAAAATTGCTGCACAGGCTCAGGAAGCAGGTGCATCATCGTACAAAATTACCCAGGCATTCAGCGGTAACCGCGTACACATGACCGCTGAACTGACCAAATAAGCGTGTCACACCGTCGAAAGAGCGCCCCCGGGGCGCTTTTTTACTTTGTCTCTCGCTTAACAACATCTTTTCTATCCTGAACCTCTACAAGGGAATAAAAAGGCGCGACGTTTTTACACGTCAGCCGCCAGATACCGTAATCCTGCTTTTTCGGCGTAAACACGCGGTAATTACCCTCGCCCATCATCATAAAGCGCGCATTGGGATAGTCGTTGAGGATCCGATATTCATTGTTGCAGTAAAACGTATCCCGAGTGTCGTAATCGATTGTCACATTGAGGACGTATTCAAGCACCCGACTGGTATTGACGTTATAAGCAATAAAGAAGATATAGCCAGCGCAGAAAAGCGGGGCAGAAACCGCAAGGACGTTGAACTGCATCGATGAATTCTGCAACAAGGGCAGTACCATCGTGAATAACAGAAATACCATTGAAAAAAATAAGGTGCAGAAAATTAAAAAGAATCCAAACGACGTAATTTTATTGAACGTCGCCTCATAGGTGACATCCGTGACGTCCATAAAGATCTTTCGCGCCAGTATGTAGCAGATGAAGGAGATAATCAGCCATAAACCGCGCGCAAGGGTGAAGGCCTTTTTCGCAATTTTCTTTCTGTCATCATCCACGGCGTCCAGATAGAGAGTGATGGAATAATAGATAAATCCCACCGTCCCGATAGCGAGCGTGACGGGCAGCTGCAGGCCATTTCCGGCGTAATATTTAAATGCCACGCACGATGCTAAAAAAAGCAGCGAAGACATCAGCGTCGAGCCCGCTATTTTTTTGTATTCATCCCATTCCATTCGGGACAGTTGCAGCAGAGTGAGGGGTTTTATACATGAGGAAATGATGATTGCGCAGGCAATCATCATGGCCATCCATACGAATACGGGCATCGCTTTACTGTTAAAGGGCGTCATGACAAAAATGGCGCCCGCATAAGCGATAAAATGGACAGCGGTACTGTGTCTGATGAGGAATGAAGGTTGTTTTCTGCTTTTCACCCGCGTTCTCCCTGAAAAAGGCTGACGTTCAGGACATCAGTAAATGAATATCAGCGCAATGCATGACGGTTATTTCATGTTCAGTAATTTTGAATAATAATAGCAAATCCTTCCGCTTTTAGTTGAATGGTATGAGGTCTAGTATTTATCTCATCA